ACTTGAGAATCGAGTATCCTTCATCCTGAAGTCAAAACTTGACTCTAAAAGCTGCAAAAACGTGTATGCTAAAATGATGAATGTGATGCACCTAAGTATGTTTAAGATGCATGCAATATGGATGAATTATGTGTTATCTTCTGGATGGAGTCTCGTGCTTTGTCTGTCAATCAGGTTCTTGGAATGGATCGTGCCCCATTTGCTTCCCGAGCTTTGGCTTTACATACCTTTCATATCTGAGACTGTTCTGCTTGAAAATGTTTTTCTCCTTTTTCTTGTTTTAGGTGAGACATGATAAAAATGTTGTAAAATATTGTTCGCAATTGAATCAAATTGTAAATGTGAGTTCAAAAAATATCAAAGGAATCAAGAGCTCTTTTAATACTTTCAGAGTTACAAATCTTTGACAAATGTTCAAATGGATGAGTTGGCTTTAGGTTAGCCTCCTTTCTAAGGTTTTGGTAACCCAAAATGTCATTTATTTTTTAAATATCGAAATATGCTTTGGCATTTCATTTGGGTGCGGACATAATGACGCAACTAGAATGACCAATTACTAGACATTTTATTTCGGTCCTCTGAAATCTTCCATTTGTTCAAGCTTTGTAGGCTCCTCCAACAAAGGCAGTGCGAAAAATATCGGTCTAAAAATGAAATTCTTGAGTGCTCGTGTGTAGTCGACTATAACAGGTGTTCCTTAACTCCCTTAGTTCAACATTACCGAAAATTTCTTGCTCAGATAAATTTGATTTAATTTGTCGTTATCTGGCAAGCTGGATCCATAAAGCCGGGGCGTTTAACCAATTACTTTAGAGGGACCACTTAAAATTATAATCAGTTTTATCAAGTTCACTGAAGGGTTCATCTCATCACAGAGTCTTCAGCCTGACAAGAGCAGTGGAGCAAACACCGAATTGCCAAGTGTCCGAGCAATGTCATGGTTTAAATACAATCTATTCATAAAGCCAGGGCTTTCGAGTTTCCTCTGTAACCAATTGCCTTAGTGGAATAGCTCAGTTTTACGGATTTAATTTCTTAAGATTGTCAAGAAGAACCTGTTATAGTCTAGGTGTTTGTTGAAAGTAAAAAATTTCATCTTTAGAGATCAATTTTCAAGCAACTGACCTAAACTAGATTCACTTACTCGACTATTCCATCTGTGAAGATCGTTATCATCACTGAACGTCTTAAATAAAAAGTATAATAATGTCATATGCAAAAGGATGCCCCATGTTGTCCGCACCTTATGAAAGGAAAATGTTATATTGGTTAATTACAAGAGCAGGGTACGGTGTTTGAGTGTATATTCTGGGTAAAGTCAAATTCCTTGTTTTAAATCATGTTACTTCGTCAAAGATATGTAACTTTGAACCATTTCAGAGTTTCTTAATTCAGATGATATTCAAAGAATTGCAAGTTTGCAAATGTGATTCGTTGTTTAACATCTTTAAAGTAACATAAATTTATTTAAAAGTCCTTACAAAAACTTGAGAAAAAAAATGAAAAAAAAAATTCAAACAAATGTCTCAAATGATGAAATGGTCTTCCTCACTTGGATGCCCCCAAGTTGTTGAAGTCGATCCGATTCTTGTTACATATTTTATGTATGATTCTCTTGATTGTGGAGTAATTCTCGATAGTGCGCCCTGGGACTCCGCTATGATTTTCTCAATGAGCGTTCTCATCATACTACCTGGGGTACGGGGCTTCATGGATTTCTCTGGATATGGTGACACCACGTGTGCGTCAAACAACTGTTGGTAAAGCTCCTTATATGTCATAGGATCAAAAATGTTCTCATTTTTGATGAGACATGTGAATGTAAAAAAAAGGAAAATAATGCGAATGTAAAGAAAAATATCAAAATGCACAATATGTCTGAATGCATGATGCATGAAATGTTCGAGGCATTGATCCAAAAAATGTACCTGTTATTATAAATAATCCTTATTGGGGCAAAAGTGTTACGTCTTAAGAGACAAAAATATTTTGAAGGCATAGACCCCGAACAGCTTCTGATAGGTTGACTAGTCTTCTGCCTTCGTCTGTCACCGGTTGAATACCCTGTCAAACCGTTCCTGCTCCTTTGGCTAAAATGTGCAAATAACGAGCTGCTTGCCCTCAAAAGGTCTCGAATGACTGCATCGCCGGCTTTCACTCTATGTCGAGCTTGTTCCAAACGAAAGTGCCATCGGAGCCCTCCACCCAAAGTTTATCGACTTGTTTCTAGAATTTATCAATAATGATCTCCAGCTTAGCTAGGGTTTCGCCATCTTGATCTCGCAGTTTTCGAAAAGACTCTCCGGGTCATTAACATTTTCCTCGTCTTGCCCCTGCACCCTTTGCCTCCGAGTATTCTTTGACCACGACTGGGCTTCTGAGCTTTTTATCTCTTTGTATTATAATCCATTTGTCCATTAATGCAGATTATTCATGTTTAACAAACACATTTTTTGGTGGATCAACACCTCGTTTTAAATGATGCGAATGATGAGAACAAAATGAAAGAGAACAAAAAAAAATAAAAAAAATAAAAGAGTTAGTGAGGTAAATCAAAACAATAATAACAAGAAAGATCCTACCCCACATGTATCTACCAGAACATGCTTAATATTCCTACCCGGACATGATTTCTATCCCGTATGCTAACTTCAAACAAATCCTAAACGCATATTTGTCTAGTTCGCATGCTTTGAACAGAAAATAAAGCAAGAAACAAAATAGCCTAGGGTTTGGAATGAGGTTTTGGGGTGGACTCTAATTCCCTGTACTTTCCCGGTTTAGGTTCTAAAAAGGTACTCGAGTTCTCCTTGCTGGTGCCCCCTTGGGCTTACCAGACCCTTAGTCCTAAGCCCATCACAGGCTTGTGTGAACTAAGTTAAACTCGAGATGACACATTCCCTTATGCCCGCACGGTGAATAAATCCACACGAAGACATAAGGTATATGAATCCCGAAGGCTACTTGCTAGGCCCGCACGGTGAATAAATTCACACGAAGGCGTCGCTTTCACCCCCACTTAAATAGGGTTTGGAGCTCGGGTATAGAGCCTGAGATGAAAACTTTGAAAAATCTGAAATCGTTAAAAAATGTTAGTACAACTATTTATTTGAAAAATAATCAAAGGTAAATAACTGGAATCGAATAAATAAATTTAAATTTACCATTTTTGCATAAAAAGACAACCGAAAATTAATTTCGGCCTGACTCACTTACCTGTCCCCAGCGGAGTCGCCAAGCTGTCGTAACCGCCTTTCGGTTGGGCCCCAGAATTGGGTTTCGACTTGAAAATGTGGATTGGAGTCGCCACCGACCATTTTAAAACGAATTTAGGTGGGTCGGACACCATCTTACCTGATCTGCGTTGTACCAGAAACGTGTCGGGTTCGGGAGTCGGTTACTGTCAAGGAAGGATTAGCACCCTTGAACTGCCCTTTCGGTACCAATTAATTTGTTAGTTGTCTTAATTGCGAAAATTGTAATTTAAATTAAAATTTAAAAATTCGATCATAATTATTTACCTTTTGATCAATTAAAATTATCCCTAAAAAATCATAAATAAAGTTAAAAAATAAAACAAACAAAAACAAAGAGTTATTATTAAAATCGAAATAAAAAAAAGAGAAAATAAAAGAAATGAAAGGAAATTCAAATTAAAAATTAAATTGAAAATAATTAAAATTTATGGATCAAATTAATTCTAGAAATGAGCTACAAGAGAAAAAAAAGAAACTTAATGGATTAAAACATCAAAACCAGAAATTTAAAAGATTAAAACAGCAAAATAAGAAGTTAGGGGGCTGAACCCCAAATATATAAAAAAACAAAACTAACATCAAAATAATAAACATTATAGGCACTAGAAATGCAAATGACCCAAAACTAATATAGAGGACTAAAATAAAATAACCAGAAACATAAAGGAGCAAATACTAATTAAACCCAACACAAGGCAGTGATTAAAATGGACTAATTACCCATATCATGACTAAAGTAAAATATAAATAAAGATGGTATCATGAGTAAACTGGTGATCAAGATATAAATGTGGAAAGATAAAGGCTCAAAATAATATAAACTTGGATATTTGACCTTAAAACGGATGACTAGAATAGAAATAAGTGGCTAAATTAGAATGGCTTAGTAAGTAATTAACCCTAAACTTAATATATAACCTAAAACCTAAACTAAACTAAACTAACATCACGCATCTTCTTCTCTTCTTCCCCATTCTCTCCATGCGGCACAAAGTTTTCTAACTCCAGGAAAAAAACAACTTGGCCACCAAGCTTGGGTGGTCGATTCCTTACTCGCTTGTCGAGCCAACGGCGGCCCCGGTAAGTTTCTAACCCCTTTTCATATATATATTTTTGAAAGCATCGAATGTAAACAAAAAAAAAACTAAAATCTACTACTTTAATTGCATTTAAATAACTAAACTAATAAACTGAAAATGAAATCAAATTAGAAAATACCTCTTCGCTTTGAAAAAAAATCGGTTCTGTTTTTGATTCCTGAAGAATTCATTTTTTTGTATTTTTATTGCTTTTTTCCTTTTGAATGTGATTACATGGGTATTTATAGTAGAAAAGAGACCCTATTTTTAGGAGTCCTAATGGCATACAAATTGTTCTTTTAATATTTGTTGGTGGTTGCCTTGCGAGGCCTTTGCGCCGGACGGTTTGGCGTGAAGATCGGAGGTGCGAGTGAGGAATAGTCCTCGCGAGAAACGACGCTTGCTTGCTAAGTTCTGGAAACCCTAGCCCTGGGTTGATTCGGTGTTGAGGGCTTGGACCGGTTCATGCGGGTTGCAGCTAGTTGACCGGTTCGTGCGTGCTACTGGGCCACTCATAACCCTGATACAGAAAATGAACAAATGTGTTAGCTTAATAATAATAATAATAATAATAATAATAATAATTGTACAATATATATATATATATATAATATATATAAATATATATATTTATTTCGGTCATGAAAAGTGTGTCTACACTTAGGAGCCAGCTACATCACAAATTCAGTCAGGTGTTCCTAGTAGTGCTTATGATGAAAATTATCAGCGTTCTTTCTCTCAGTATGGAGGATATGCACCACATCCCTCGTATCAACCTCAACCGCCGGCGCCTGTAAATACTTTTGTTCCAACCCAAGCTCCTCATGTTTCCCAGGTATGCTGTATTAGGTTTCTATCTGTGCATAGCAGTCTATTTGATTGTAGATTTAAGTGGTGGAATGATATTTTTCTTCTGATTCTACTGTTAATCTGTCATGCTATCTAAACGGCTCGAACAATTTCGTTCAAGTTGTATCTTTATTACGACAGTATGATCAGCTTATAACTACCATGAGATTGCTATAAGTGGGGGTCTTTAAGTTTGCAATTAATCTGTGTTAACTTAGCATTTTTGAACTGTACAAAGAGCATTCTATTTTTGTTATCCATAAATTGATTGACTTGTTTTGTCTTAAATCCAGTAGTGACGACTGACGAGAGAAAATTGGAGAATCTTTCTAATTTTTCTAGCTTTTTACTTACTTGCATGATATTTTTATTTATATATCAAGTTGATTCTTGACTAAATATTTTGTCCTTCCAGGCAAATTTTGCTTCATCACCTGGAACCACTCAGCCTGCCGTAAGATCATTTGTTCCTGCAAATCCTCCTGGTCTAAGAAATGCTGATAAATACCAGCAACCAACTACCTTGGGTTCTCATTTATATCCTGTCTGTATCGCTACATCTAATTCATGTTCAATGACATATTTAATCTTCTATTTCTGGTATACTAATTGATTTTTGCATGCCTTTCAGGGTGCTGCTAATTCCACTTATCCCATACCCCAAGGAACTGGATCACCTTCACCTGTCCCATTACAAATGGGATCAGTTCCTGGCCCCAAAATGCCCCAGTTTGTAGCTCCCACTCCAACGCCAAGGGGATTTATGCCAGTGACCGACACACCTGTCGTTCAAAGGCCTGGGATGACACCAATGCAATCTGGCACCCCTACACAACCGGCTCCAATACAACCAGCTGCAGCACCTGCTGCACCTCCACCAACTGTGCAGACTGCCGACACTTCAAATTTGCCTGGTAATTGCTAGTTTATTGGTTTTGAATAATGTTAATATGACATGCCTGTTTATTGGATTTTGGAGTTCCTTTCCAGCCCCATGCTATATGTCATACCAAGTTTCTTGGACTATTCCAGAATGAGGGTTTACTATCTGAAAATCTGAGTTGTGTTTATCTTTACACCATCACCCTGTATGAGAACTCTTGCAAAACAAAACGAATTATTTTAAAAATGATGATTGTGAAAATACTATTTTTTATGCGAGTAATTTATCCTTTCAGGTTGCATAATCCACATAAATGAGGTAACTAATAGATGAAGAAATATAGATGTTTTATATAATGATACTGCCGGCAATGACTCTACCATGTTGATTTGCAGCCCACCTGAAACCCGTAATCACAACCTTAACAAGACTTTTCAACGAGACCTCTCAAGCACTGGGAGGGTCACGTGCAAACCTTTCTAAGAAACGTGAAATAGAAGACAATTCAAAGAAAATGGGTGCCTTGTTTGCCAAACTCAACAGTGGAGACATTTCAACGAATGCTTCTGATAAGCTCATTCGGCTCTGCCAGGCATTGGACAATAATGATTTTGGTACAGCACTACAAATCCAGGTACGGTGGCAAAAGAACGTTGTTCATAATGTTTTGCCAAGTCACGTGACTGTTGGGGTTGGTAACTAAAAGCAGTTCTATGCTTTTTACCTCTGCTTCTGGAACAGGTTCTTCTTACTACAAACGAGTGGGATGAATGCAACTTTTGGCTTGCAACCCTGAAACGGATGATTAAGACGAGGCAGAATGTAAGGTAAGTGATAAGAAACGAAAAGATCTCCAAGAACGTCGTCATTTTTGCTCGAGTACATTTTGGGGCAATGGTAAAAGCCCTTGGATTTTATAAAATTTTGGAAAGCAAGCAGATCTTACTCTTACGTAATTGAAATAGATATGAATTGTTTTACTATTTAAAGTCATAAAAAACGGTTGGTCCAATGGCACTGAATTCTGACATTTCTTATAAATTATAAAATTTTCAAGCAATAAAAAAACAATGTTAAAATATATTTTAAGTCTATCTTTTTACATTTAGAATTTAGTTCTATTTTTTGAAATTAAAAACATCTTATACATGACTCTTAAAAAATCTTTTTTATCCTCAATTTTATCAGTTTAGTTACTTTTTACCTTCTAAATTCTCATTGTTTCCATTTTGATCCTCAAACTTTTATTTCAAAACAATAGCAAATTGTTAAGTTGATGATAGTTATTTTATTTTTATTTAGATGTTGACTATTATTTTATCTTTTTCTATCATATCTAAAAAATAAAAAATAAAATTATTTAAAAGAATCTAATATTAACATTCAATAAAGATAAATAGCTACTTTTTTAAAAAAAAATTGATGACATGGTAGAAAAAGACAATACTTGATGTTAGCTTAATGGAGTGGTTATTATTCAGACACTTATGAATCAATTAAAAAAATTAACGACAAAAAGGAATACAATAGAAACTTAACGGTTAAAATGATTAAATTAAATCAATTGAGGTGCCAAAAAAGATACCTCTACCTAAAATAGATAAAATATGATCATACTACCAGGAGTTTCTTTAAATACCCACTTCTTGTATTGAACCATGTAGTAACAGAACCTTTAACCACAACTGTTTTTTGAACTCTCTCCAACTAAGTACATTATCCACGGTCAAAATGAATACAAGGAAAAAAGAAATGGACTAATCAAATAATCATCATAATAACTTTAGGCTTTCCCTTTGAACAAATAATTACAAATCATAGCATTTATTACAATCAGTGTTACATAATCCAATCATACAGCATTTAAGAATGCATATTTTTTACAATTAAAGGTTATGGAAGTGCTCATTTTCCACTCGGTTTTCAAGTGACTGCAATCCAATCATAGCATATATTAAAATCAGCATTAAATTAGGAAGTGCTCATTTGCCACTCAATTTCCAAGTGACCGCAATCCAATGAACCAATAACCTTATTTAGAGATGTTTCTCTGTGTTGCAATAACATTGGGGAGCAATCATCAGCCTCCTTATTCTTCCTTTTGCGAGGCAGTTTTCTTGACACCATTTTCCATTTGGAATCAAATTCACAAGCTAAAATAAAGAAAAAGGAAACATCAGCAGTGTTATATACTTAACTATTAAAGCATGAATCATATTAGCAAATTTCATAGATATAAATACCGGTAAAAGTACCGTACAAGTCCTTATACTAGCACAAAGTGTATTTTAGTTCATGTACTTTTAAAACGAGCACGCAAAGTTACCATTTTTGCAACAATTGGAAACAAAACAACTGCTAATTTTATAAAGTGGCATCTTTAAATGATGTGGAATGTTCATCCAACCCATTGAAGCTAAAAATGCTCTGCAATGCTTCAATTATTTTAAGCTACAACGGGTCGAGTCAACATGTTACTTCATATTTTAAATTAATGTCACGTTATTTAATTAAGTCCGTCTTATAAAACTAATAGTTTTCTTAACGGGTTATAAAAATGATCATTTTGCACATTTTACTAATATACTGAAACCTTTTTTCTCCTTTCAAAAGTATAAGCTTTACTCATTTTAGAAGCACTGAGGAAATGCACCAACGATAAACAGCTAAATGAGATAAAATTATTGAGCAAAAATACCTTCACTTCGGTCATTGAAACCCCGAATTAAGCAAGCGCAGACCCATGGCCTTCCAGCACGAGATGCTTTAGCACCACCACTAAGTTCGCCATTATGTTGTTTCAAACTGTAATATCAAAGCTCAATATTTAGTTATTTTGAATCATTTTTCCTATGAAAAAAAGAAGAAAAAAAACTCCCAAAGCAGAGTCAATTTTACTGAATGCAACTTGTCGCAACAATCAACAACGAAGCTCGCAAGTTTTCAAAAGATTAGCTTATGTAAAGTGAATTTTCAATTTACAAGGGGGGTAAACATTTGGTTAACTTGATCAAATAAACAATTTACATAGATTTAATCAATTAGACCATTAAAAAAAATAAGCAATCAAGATTAAACCCCAAACTAAAAAGAAAAAAGATGTCACGAATAGGAATTTGAGGTACAATTTGACGTTAAAGCTTAAAATAATTGGGAAATGAGAAAATGAAGATCGTACCGGCGGGAGAAGTTGTTGGTGACGCCGACGTAGGTTTTAATGGGAGCATTGGTGGAAAGAATGAGGTAAACGCACCACGTCATTTCTTTTGATTTGGATTTCGCACCGGCACTCGATTCTGACGACAACGGCGGATTTAGGGAAATAGATTTAGGGTTTGGGTTAGGATTTAGAATTAGATATGGGGATTTCGCCGCTCGGAATGATGCTGTGAGCAGCCTCATCTCATCATCCGATCTCAAGAGTTTTTTCGTATTTTGGGATCTTAATTCAACGGTAAAGTTCTGCCCCTTATCTGGGTGGGTCCAAACCCCTGTTTTCTTTGGTAAATTATATTAATGGACATTAAAGTATTAGTAAATTCTTTTTTCAGCATCAAAGTTTTAAAAAGGCTTAATTATTAAATAAGTACCCAAACTATAGCGCTTTTCACGAATAGGTGCCTACAGTATTTTTTTTAATGATCCCGGAAACTAACGTTACAAACGTTACCACTTTAGACACTCGAGTCGTAAACACTGTTAATTTTCTTCGTTAAGTGACATGTGTCACATTTTGATAATTTTAAACGTTTTATTTAAAAGTAAAAGTTAAAATCATATATTTTAAAAAAACACACAAAAATTTCAAAATAGCCTCAAAACTTTGAAAACCTTCATTTCAACCTATAAACCCACATTGGTCATCGCCCTTTGTCGTCGACGAAGCACCACCCGACCTCACCTACCCCCAACGATCAATACCCCTATGAAATTGTGACTGATCGACAGTCAATCGACATTTTGTACCCCGCGAACCTTAGGATGAAAATCGCGATCATAGGCGGTTCCGACGAACAATCGACAACGTATGACTAAAAGGATAGCAGGGACTAAGTCGGCAGCGGTGATCGTGGTCGGAAATGGCGGTGTCGGCGGGTTAGGTTAGGATTTCTTTATGAATTTGGGGGTTTTTGTAATTTAAGAAAATTTAGGGACTTTTATAAATATAATAATATTTTTAATTTAAACAAATAAAAGTTATCAGAATGTGACATGTGTCACTTAAAGGAGAAAACTAACGGTAGTTACGGCCCGGACACCTAAAGTAGTAACGTTTGTAACGTTAAGAATCGAATCTTTCAAAAAATACCATAGGCATTTATTCGTGAAAAACATTATAGTTTTGACACTTATTTTTATAATTAAGTGTTTTAAAAATAATGAAATGTATTAAAAAATTATAATTTTTCTCTTTTATTTTGGCAACTGTTATTTTGCCTTTTTTATCTTTGTGATTGGAGGCGGTTAATTTTGATGTTTGTTGTCGACTATAAGTTTTTATTGTTTTATTTTATTATATTGTATTATACCTTTACTTTTTTATTGTTTTTCAATTTTTAATAATTAAGTCTTTGTGACAAGTTTTCTTCGGTCTTTTAACACGTTTTCAGACGTTTGGTCGTTATTTTCGTTTATCTTTTATATTAGGGTTGGATTTGATATCGTTAAAACTGATCAAGATAGCACTTAATTGTTATCATATTTATCTTTCCTGTTTAAATCCTTGGATTGGATTTGGATACGCGAGTTGTATTTGTGGATAGTTTTTTCATGTTACTATATTCTGATTTGTGGTTTGTCGGTGGTCTTTCAATAATTTTATATTTTTTTGTGATTCGTTTATCGATACAATCAAATCTATTTGTATCAATATTTTATTTGAGTTTATTCAATTATATTTTTTAACCTTTTTCTTGTATGATCATTGTGTGATCTTAAGTGGCTAGTTTTTTGTGTTATTAATTATAAGGAAATGTCCTTATTATATGTTTAATTTATGATTATTTTTATAAACTTTTTTTATAATTTAAATAATTTATATTTTAAATAAAATTAATCATTTATATTAAAAAAGATTGAAATGTACTATTAACATTACAACGCTGGTGTGTCACTATTAAATTATGTTAAACCATAGTTTGTCTATTTATTAATATTTTATCGATTATTCCTACCGATTGATATGATAATAATCTTATATAATTTCAAACCCATCTACTTCCATCTTCACTCTGTCCCGCACATTCTTATCCTTCCTCGTTTCACTATTTGTAATACATTGAACAGAAAAAAAAAACATTTTCTAAATTTTTTTTCAAATAAAAATTGTTCGAGAAAAGTTAATAGTATATAATTTACCGGTTTTCAAAAAGGGTGGTAAACTCATAATATCAACGGTAAACTACAAAGTTGATTACTAATGTTTGAATAAGTTTTTGTTTTCACCATTGATGTTTTAAAAGTCACAAATCAGTAACTAATGTTATTGTTTGTTACAAATTGATCACTCGACATTAACATGCGTGACAGAAAATACAGCTGGCGAGTTAACTGCTACATAGACTTTTGACCGCCACGTTGGAGGACCATTGAAATCCCTTTGACCACTGCTTGAACTAATATGTAATTAATTAATTAATAAATAAAGGGGGAGAATTAAGGGTTTCATTTACCATTTTGAACCATTCTTCTTCTTCCATAAACTCATTGTTTCTTCTTCCAAAAACCCATTTTTTCTCATACATAAACTCGTTTCTTCTTCTTTCATAAACGCCTTTCTTCTTCTTCCATAAACACTTTTTTTTCCTTCCAAAAAGCCTATTTATTTTTCTTCCATATACACATTTCTTCTTCTTCCATTAGTTTGAGAGAAAAAGTAGAGAGAAAAACGAGCAAAAAAATGAGCAAAGAAAAACCATAATACTTGCATGGAGGTTAGGACAAAAGGGAGATAACGATATGCTTTATGGTAAGCTTTTTTTGGGTTTGTTAGAAAATAAAAAAAATAAAACCTTCGTTGGGCATCCACAGTTGCAAAGCAGGACATCAATGGAGTCTTACATCTTCACGGAATTCTCTTCTCTTATAATTTTTATAATTTTTTTAAAAATATAGATAGGATGAAAAATCCTAAATTAAGTTTAGGGATTGTGATTTTTTAAAAGAGAAGAGGTGATCGTTGAAGGCTTTTGAGTCTCCAACGTGGAAGTCAACCCAGTCCATGTAAGCAGTTAACGCATCAGCTGTGTTTTTCGTCACACCTGTTAACGGATGTTAACGTCAAGTGACCAATTTGTGACAAACGATAATATTAGTGACCGATTTGTAACTTTTGAAACATTAGTGGTGAAAATAAAACTTACTCAAACTTTAATAACCATTAGCATAATTTACCCTAATATTAAACAAATACTTCATCCCCTCAAAAGAAGAACAAATGTAATATAATATATGTTCTATCTTATCATTACATGTCTTTGCTCTTCGATTTGATTTAGGTTATCTTCCTTCTCTGACCGTTCTCAGACTGCTTTTGTTTTTTGTTTTGTCGTAGTTGATGAGTTCCATAGACTCTCAAACAAAACACAAAAATCCATGCATCTATTTAAACAGTTATTCTTTCAACTGTGATTAAATTATGGATCATATGAGTTTTTTTTTAATTTAATTCATTGAATCTGCTAAACTTAGAAAGGACGAAGCTCACTGGTTGTTATCCTCGGAAGTAAAATTTTATGTTATTGAAATATATTTATAAAATTTTAAAGTATGGCTTACTTTAAGAAATAGAAATAAATTTTCAATTAAAAATATAAAAATATATTTAAAAAATATATAGGAAGCGATCACTCTCGCCCGCTCCCTTCTATCCAATATTGGTTGTTAACACTAACGGAGTCCGACTATACCGAGGGGTGTCATATGACACCTCAAAAACTTTTGGAAAAACTCTTTTAATACAAATTTTATATAAAAATATTTAAAAATTAATATAATTAATATAATTTTAAAAAGATATTGACACCCTTAAAATAAATTGACCGTCATTATTTATTTTTATTCACTTAAAAAAAATCTTCATACAACTTTTAAATTTGATATCTAAATATTTTTTTTCTAAATTTGACAATCTAAAATAAATATTCTAACTCTGCTTTATCTAAAGCGATGGATTAATTAACCAAACATGGATCTATCTTATCTTATGCAAAAATCCAATGCAAATAATACCTAACCTCAAAAAGTTCATGACGTGATCATATCAGTAGAAAAGTTATCGATATTATATATTTCTAGTCAATGAAATATTGGACCAGAGCTGATTAAAATATAACATACAGTTGCAATTTAATCAGAAAAGTTATAATATCGCCATAAGTAAAATAAAATATATATATGGATAATGTAAATAATTAATTTTTTTAAAGGGGCTTTTGTATTCAAAGTGGAACCCGAATATAAAACGACACAACATATGGGTATCGTTAAAAAAATCTTCTTAAATTTAAATAGAGAAAAAAGAGTACACCACGTTGGGTCGGGAAAATGAAACAAGCTACCACGTGCACAAAGCACTAATACGAAAATAAAACACACTAACAACATTACAGCCCACCAACCATCACAGCCTACAGCACATCAACAAAACACTCCAAAACAGGCAAGGAACTAAAACCACGCAAAAGCTGTCACCAAACGAACCACCAACACATCCCACACAGCCCTTGAACCCAACAGCAGAAGGATGCAGGGACCAAAGGAGAGTCATCCAGTGGAGACCGGATTGCACGATACCCAAGCATCGACCTGGTCAACACTCCCAACGCACGAACCTGCAACCACACAAGCCATCCTCGGGATAACATGGCATAACTCTACAGCAAAGGAGAAACACCAGGGCTCTCGAAAGTACAATTCTTGCAGACCAACAGAAATGATAATCCAGCAGAAACCACTCCGATAGAAAGAGCCACAAACAGGAAACCATAACACAGCAGGCAAGAAGCAAGCAAGCAGTGGATGGTAAACGAGCCTCCATAGCCTACACTATAAGCCACACCAGAACACACTATCCACAGTAAAAATGCAATTCAACCTCAAATAGCCAATTCTGGATTTCTGACAAAATCATGCGTAGAGGGAAAATCCAATTTTAAATATTATTTCTACAACCAACAATCAGTTAGTTTAGTAGAATGAGACATTAGGTCTCTTAAGTAATGTCAAAGATTCGAATCATGGCGTTTGCAAATGGAGCAAACTGGATTGGGAGGGTTGCCATCGCCTCTACAGTACCCGATCTGAATTAGTCGGTTAATAGATCGGATACCAGTGATTAATTTAAAAAAAACATTTCTACAAAATTTAAATATAATAAATAAACTAAATATCCATAAATATCTTAACCCCGTTGTTTA